CCCCCCCCGATATGTTAGAAGTTGTGTTTTCTTTTAAATGCAGGGATTGACCCCATCTTTTCTCAGCAAAAGACACAGCACTGCAAACTCTGGGTGTTCAATACTACTATGTTCGGAGTTGCAGGTACGGCGGCGTTGGGATGCGGAGGGCATTGCCAATTCAGATGGGCAGCCCTTAATCACCCTGCAAAACCAACCCATTAGCAGCCTCATACAGCTAGCAGTTCGGGACCGGGATCACGCTGCACGAATTTACAGGCTTGAGAAGCAGAAACACCTTGACATGGCTTATTCTTAATTAACAACAACAACAAAAAAATATCCTCGCCACTGCTCCACACAGATCTGTTCATCTGCTGATGTCATTCCCTTTCCCCTGCTATGTCACATTGTCACCAAGCTGTGTGGGTAATGAGATAAAATTAGGATCTGACTTACAGGACAAGTGCCAGAAGCACTACAACAACCCAAAGGCACGAGCTCACAGGGGAGGCAATTAGACTTGGCATTCGAGGACATCGCACTGCACGTACCCAGTCGCTGGGCAGATCGCAGCGTACAAAACCCAGTTATTAATCTTCTTGAGGCTCTCCTAGCTTTCATTTCCCAAACAAACTTATTTATATAACCAAAAACTAAGCCTCATTTACACCCTGGTTCAAAACACCCTCCCCAAAGATTAGCAAAGAATCTCAACAAACTATTTTTAGTGCTATTATGTCTAGATACTAAAAAGGACCCAAACAAACAGCACGAAGAAGACACTGTTCTTTGACATTTAAGCTGCATTTGCAGATGAAGACGTAATGGAAACTGAACTCCAGCCCCATCACAGCCATCCTCCCTACCCTTTAACCCTGAGAAAAACAGCAATGCATAAAAGGATCAATAAAATACCTCTTGGAAAAGAGTTAGACACAGACATTAAGACACAAACCTGCTGCTTAGATCCGACACTCCTATGGTCCGTCACCCTAAACAGGAACGCCATCAATACGGCTGATAATTTTGCAATGTTACGGGCAAGCTGGAGATAGATGCTCTCCCCCGACACCCCAGAGACGTGCCCTTCAAGAAGGGATGTCCCTACGGAGGTCAGCTCCTACGCATCACGGTTTCACACGGGCTCTAGGCACATTCCCAAGCAAACCCGGTTCTCCAGTGTATTGCAAAGCAGAGGGAGAGGCCCCAAGTCAGCCCGAGCTGTTGTCTAAAGAACTTTGTTGGAATAACTATAATGCGTCGGACACGTATAAAGAATTACCCTGCACATCGTTGCCAGCAAAGGCTCTCTAAATAGACTAAATAACAGCAGCTCCAAGCTCTGCTGATACAGGGGAAAGGAGTAACAAGATAACTGCTGGCTATTTTTCATTTCAAGTTTAGCGAGTAACCACGACTGAACGTTTGAAGGCAGGCAGGGACTTGGGCTTCCTACAGATCCCTTATGCTAGGAGGGTATTTCCCCCCCACCTCCAAATTTAGGTTACTTTGCAGAAATTGAGAGGAGATACCTACCAGCCCTCCTGCCAGAGCACGGGATCATCCCCCGATAAAGGAAGCTGTGCTCTCCTAGAAATTTCATAACATTTCAAATATGCAGCTCTAGAAAACCATTAACCACATGCTTTAATGCATTTGCTGGAGATTTCTCCTGAACACAACCTTCTAACCCTTGCTCACTCAAGTAATGTGTAAGATCAAACCCAGAAAGAGGGAATTTAGGCTAGAGTTGCATCCTCCCACGCCAAAGCTAAAAACAAAGCCTCGTCTGCTCATTAAAGGCACCATCA